CTTCTAAGTGTCAATAGCAAACTCTTTAAAGCTATCATAAACAAAAAAGTTACTGAATACTTCAACAAAAACAAACACTTGAGCAACAAAAACTATGATTTTCACTTTTCTAGGCCCACTGCTGATGTCCTAATTATCATCAAAAATTGAATCAGTGAGACACTTCATAATAAAAAATATGTGAGAGTGATTGCCCTAAATATCACGAAGGCATTTTAATATGTGCGGTACAATCGATTGCTACACAAACTTGAATTTCTAGGACAGTTTTCTCAATAATCAAGTCCTTTCTGTCAGGTAGGTCTATGAAGGTTGTCGTTAATGAAGCACACCAGATCAATATTGGCGCTCCTAAAGCTTTCTCCTCGGTCCTACCCTTTTTCTACTTTATATTAATGATCTTCCCAAGGACACTCTCAGATCCTTAATAAATATATAGGCAGATGATAACACAGTGTATAGGTCAGCTCCATATATCTTGATGGTAGCTGATCTCTACACTGACTTAAGTCTCACAGCTTAACGGGAAGTGACTGGCTGGTATCATTCAATATATCCAAAACTAAACTGGTAGTATTTTAATTCCACTGAGCTGGCACTAAATCTACACCAATTCTGATGTGTGATTATATCGTCAAAGAGACTCCTTGTCTCGAGCGCCTTTAGGGTTTAAAGCTCACTCCTGCCTTCAAATGGAACGCGTATATTTATGACATCGCAAATGATACTGGTAGAATGGTCGGTTCCTTATATTGCCAACTGCCGTTGCCATATCTTAGCTTTACAAGAGTGAGATCAGAGACCAAGAATGGCATATGTTTGTCATATGTGGGCTGGTACAACACAATCTTCACTGTTCAACCTTGTCAGAATTCAAAAGCGCTTACACAGCCTTATGGGTGATAAATTAATCCCCATCCTGCGAGCCTATTCTAAGAAAATGTTGCTAGTCTCTCGCTACACTGTCGCTATAATTATGGCTGATATTCGGACGTGTTACATTCCTTATTTCCACTAACTTAAACCTTCAGAGATTGGACCCGCCATGCCATTTCCATGGTAGCAAACCTCATTCTCTTTGTTAAGGGGCACTCAGACATTTTCTTTCCTAGAACTGTTGCTTTGTGAAACAGACTCCCGAGCGGGTGATTCATTGACTACTACAATTTTGTTCATATCTAGAATCAAAGAATATCTGTCCTACAAGTCTTCATATTATGCATTTCTTACTTCCATCATCCAAAAGTCTCACTCAGTATCCCTGTACCTTTTGTGGCTCTTGGGTTTTGTATTGGATGAACTAACAGTAAATTTAAAAAAAAAAGCTCATATAGGTTTGCCCTATTTAATTTATAGTTAAGTGTGTCCAACTGGTATTTGAGTGATGCACTGAAAAAGCGCTTTTTATTTCTTACCCCCTTTTCGCGACACTGCCCTCTTGGTAATTCTGACCACTCTGTTGTAGCTGTTGATATTTCATTCCAATCCTCTATTAAACAGGAACCCTCTATCCACAAAACTTATTTCCGTTATCAGCATGTTGATTGGGACTCACTCCTTGATCTTTTCCCCTCCTCGAACTGATATCTTTAAACTCCCAATTGAAAATTGCGCCACTGAGGTTTCTTCTAGTGTCAAAGCCGGCATGGACGTTTTCATTCCTTCTCAAAAATACCAGGTGAAACCTCAATCCTTTTCATGGTTCACACCAGCATGCTCGACCGCTATAGCACATAGGAACCACTATTTTTGGCTATATCAGCGTGACGGCTCACGTCACAACAGGCGCCAATTTGTTGCTGCTCCCAATAAATGTAAGCGAGTTCTCGAAGAAGCAAAGTCCCTGTTTGCCGAGAGAATGAGACACCGCATAGCCTCTAACATCTATGACTCTCGTGATTACTGGCGGCTCTGCAACAGGGCATTAAATAAGCGTACAGTCTCTTTTCCTCCCTTCTTCAATCAATATGAGGTGTTATCATCCTCCCTGATAAAATTGAATGCTTTGCCCGTAAATTCTCAAACTCTACTCTTGACTCATGCCTAACTTCACTCCTAGAATTGAGTCTCTGTTGAGTGATATGCATGGTTTCCATGGTTTCTGCTATCATCTCTAACCTCGATCCCCACAAAGCATATGAAGCCGATGGAAATCCCTGTAATAGTCATTAAGAAATGTGCTACCGAACTGGCTCCTGTTCTCTCTAAACTATATAATAAATGTCTCACTGCCCTCTGCTTTCCTGCCTGCTGGAAGTCATCATCTGTTCTAGTTTTTAAGAACACTGGTGAACCATCCGACCCTTCCAACTATTGACCTATTAGCCTTCTACCTCTTTTCGGAAAATTCCTAGAGACCCTAATTAATGCTGAATTGGTTCAGCATCTCTTATCGCAGATCCTTTTCTCAGACAAGTAATAAGGCTTTCATTTCTCCAGGTCAACTGCTGATGTACTGACGATATTTGCGGAAAGAGTTTATCATGCTCTAGATAAAAACGGTGAAACCTGGGCTATTGCATTGGACATCTCGAAAGCCTTTGATAGGGTCTGGCATTCAGGTATTCTCCACAAGCTGAAAAGTTACGGTGTCTCTGGACACTTTTTGAACTGATCGAGTCCTATCAAATCGGAAAATGAAAGTTACCCTAAACGGTCACTCGCCCAGGGCTCTATCATTGGAACTATTCTAACTTCCATTTTCATTAATGACCTTCCTGATAACATCAGCTCTCAATTTAGTATCTACGTTGACGACACTACCATTTTCTCCTGCCTAGATATACTAAGGCTGATCAGTCAAGGTCAATATGGCAGCCAATGTCCAAAATGAACACAAGTTCATAGTTAACTGGGACAAAAATGGCAGGTCATGCCTCCAAAACTAAACTTCTCTTCATTAATCATCTGAAAGACTCCTAATGCTAATGCTATCCTCCAGAAAAGTAACTTTCTCGAGCTTCGGTTCTCTGTTGATACGAAGCGGAAAGACTATATTGAATCCATTGTTACGTCAGCTGTTAAGAAAATCGGTTCACTATGTCGGGTGAGACGATTTTTCTCTCCAGAATTTATCTTACATACCATTCGTCCATGCTTAGAATATTGCTGCCACATATGATACGGTACCTCTGCTATTTACATTGAACTCCTTGATAAGATCTAAAGAATAATCTGCAATATTATTGGTTTTGATCTGGCGGCTCAGCTCCAGTTACTTTCTCACTGCCATAAGGTTGCCTCTCTATGACATTTCTATAAATCCTTCGTTATGGTACCTAGTGTTTTTCAATTTAGGCGCAGCACTAGAGAGGCGTCGTGATCTCATCAATTTACAGTTCAGCTGATTGAAATTTCTCCTCTCGCACTTCTTGCTTGTGGGACTTCTGGCACTTTGAAAAATTCCAGCCGGCTTTGATCTGCAAAAATTTAAATGCCATATCAATCGCTATCTACTGTCCACTCCCTTCTCTTTTTGCTAATCATTAATGTTTCTGTTCCTAATTCTTCCACACCCTATAACCTCTTGTGTTTTACTGGCATTACTACTTTACTTGAGACGATTCTGATTAAAACAATTTAGGAATAAGTACATTCTAAACAGGTTTTTCTTGAGAAAATTTTAAATTGATGGGTAAGAATATGTTTCATACATTCTCATTAGGAAAATAGCTGAAGAAATGAACGATATCATTTAAATTGGTCAGAGAAACAAGTAAATAAAATATGACAAACTAATATTTTTATATAGATTTTTATTCTTAGCATATGATACAGTTCGTTTAGTATAAAATATGAACATAATTATGTATTTTGAACGTGAGGATTAAATATTCAACTGCACAAAGTTTTGTCGATATTGTTTTAAATACGCTACACGTTATGTGTGATATGGTCATCATGAGATGCCATTCCTATAAATTCACGAGTTTGCCGATATATATATATATATATATATATATATATATATATATATATATATATATATAAAAGAAGAGTTTAAACGACTTATCTATCCGATTTCAAGTTTCGCAGATATACTGCTTGTGGGAGTTTGATAAATCTATTGCTCTGAGCGACAGATATTGTATTTATATGGGCTACGTAAAAACGCTAATTACTGAAACCAAACAAATTTCAAAAGGGTTCTATACTAAAAGCAACGGTTATATTATATTTTGGGTATATTACGGGAAAATCTTTGAAAGTCATTCAGAATTCGTACTTCAGAAAACATAATAAATGATAATGCAATTTAAAGTTATTTTGAATCTCAATGATTTTAATTTCCAACAACAGATTAATATTTAGTATATTTTATGAAATAATCACAGACTTTTCCTCGAATCAGATGCGTGATCAGTTGAGGAAAATGCTTAAGAATATTCGTTGATATAAAAAGTATGTAGTCGATTGTAGCAACGATAACCAAATTTACTTGACCTCTCTGACACGTAAGACAAGGGATGGACTTGGTCTTAACGTCAGTTTTTGAACCCTTGTATAAGTGACACCCGGAATCATTTCAAATTGAAAGTTGCTTACCAATCTCGCTAGAACTATTGTCATTTCCAACATAGCGAACTTGTATCCGATACACATCCGACTGCCAGCAATGAATGGCAAATAAGAATATGGGTAAATGGCAGAAGCGTTGAAAAACCTTTCTGGACGAAATTCGTATGGTTCGTCCCAATATTTAGGATTCTTGTGAATGACATTGATGTCGATAAACACATTTGTACCTTTGGGAATTAGGTAGCCATGAAGATAATTATCTTCTACTGCTTGCCGACCAAGAGCAGGAGCTGCTGGATACATTCGCAAAGTCTCCTGAATAAAACATTTTGTATATGTTAGTTTTTCCAAGTGATCATATGAGAGTGAATTTCCATGTGCTATGACAGAATTCAATTCATCTCTGATCTTTTGTTGCATTTCTGGGTGGCGTGCTGCCTCCAAGAGGCACCAATTTAAAGTAATGCCAGTCGTTTCGTGACCTGCCAACATAAAGGTCATTACTTCATCCCGAATTTGTGTATCGTCCATTTTGTCTCCTGTCTCTTCATCTTTGGTCATTAAAAGAGATGCCAATAAATTCGTCACTTGAAATTCGTCTGATAATTCTTTTAACGCTTCACGTTGTTTTTTTATCACCGAGTAAACAGTGTTGTTAACCTTTTCAATCTGTTTTTTGTAGTTAACGGCATAACTCGTGTTCAAATAAGGAAACATGGAAAATATTATAAGACCCCAGGTTATCTCAAAATTCCCAATTATGTTTCGCATGTTCTCGGTTATTTCATGATTACAATGTTTTATGGCATTGAAATCATAGTCAAACGCAAATTTGCCAATGACATCTAAGGTGAAATTGGTCAGTTCTTCTTCGATAGAAAATTCGGCAAAAGATTCATTTTCAGTTTGATGATGAGTTTTATGTAGTTCTGTCAACCATACGTCGATCAGATCCTTCGAGAACTTTTCAAAAATAGGCACAACATTTTTTAGTGAGTTTATTTTAAAGAAATTGTTGCAAAGTTTCCTGTGTTTGTGATGGACAATTCCCTCGGCCAAAACAAGACCATTGCCTAAAAGAGGTCTTAGAATATCATAGTTCTCTTTTCCTTTCGTATAAATTTTGGATTTGTTGATAAGAATCTGCCTAGCGAGGTCAGCGTCTACTATTCAACTCTCTCTTCACCGAATAGCCAAAATGACGAGAAATAGGAGATTTTAAATTCTGAAACCATATTTCACCTAATTTACAGGCTTCCGTTTTCATTATGGCTGGTACGCAACCCACAATTGGAACGAAATTTGTACTGGGCATGTTTCTTAGCGGAGATATATAAATATAAATGAACTGGGTGTAGATAAACCTTAAAAGTAGGACAACTGCCAGGGTTTGCAAAAGACTCGTCCATGTCAAAAGTGAAGACAAGAATTGATAATAGTGGATAATATTGGTTGGTAAAAGCAGCCACATTGTTGTGTAGATGTTGCACTGAAACAGAAAAGAAATGCGTATACATTATAAGCACACAAAGAAATGAGGTATTAAGATGACTATTGTAATAAAAGTATTTTTATACTAATATTAGAAAATTATTAAAATTGCTAGAAATATCGCATGCAATTCTAAAATAGGTATAATTCTTAATTTGGTTTCGACCACTTTCGCTTTCTCAAAAACTAACATAGAAATACGGTTTTGTACGATACAAACAATGAAAACATAGGCCTTCCTAGAGGCCTTGCAAAATATGTATAATTCAGTAGGATATATTTCAATTATGACATATCTATGACATCTTAAAGAATCAAGCAGATTACAAAAGTAGATGTTCAAGTAGTGTTGTCTTGATTGCTTTTCGACAGCATTAAAACCAAGAATCAATTTATTAAAAATAGGCAAAAAGTTGCGACGTTATCACGGAATTGGGCATCAAATATGTCATTTTCTGTATATTTTTAGTACATTCCTTCCTTGGAAAATCTGGTTGCTTTAATTGCCAGAGGTTCTAATGTTCAAGGAAAGGCTAAAATTTGGAATTGGATTTCAGAACATGAATTATTCAAGGAATAGCCTGTCATATGGCCCGTCAGTGGTCTCTATATTTTGTAATTGGAGAACTCATTCATGTTTAATGTACTTCGTAATACGGTCACTTCCCATAACGAAAAAAACTGTTATTGACTCAGAGAAATGTTCAACATTTATAAAATTAATCAGAATGACATCACTGATATTTAAATTTAGAAACACACAGAAGCATGTAAATTTTCATAATATTCAATGATAAAAAAAACAATCATTTGAAAGAAAAATTAATTATTTTTAAATCTTCAATCTAAAGTGGAGCTTGATTCAATAAAAAAACGACTAAATTTGTTTCTCGATAAAGAAATCATTTGCGCTAATTGTAGAACTGAAAAAACCTATCCAAGAATAAGAAATTATTTTCCAAATCTTGCTACCAGTTTAAATAAATTTAGTTTTCTAATTTCTGGATTCCTAAGATCATACAAACCATGAAATATCTTAATATCTTAATGTTACCCGTATAAACATAATTAATTCTTTCTCTTTCAAAAGATAATTATTTTTCCTAATTTTCTTTCGAAAGATTATCATTATTATTATTATCATTATTATTATTATAGAGATTCATTGGATTTTTAGTGTCTAGTGTTGTCTTGGTTGTTTTAAAAAAATTGGCTGCATTAAAACCAATAATCAATTTATTATTAGGTAACAAATAACCAAAATATCATGGAATTGGGCACCAAATTTTCCATTCCTGTATATTCTTATTCATTCCTTGTAAAATCTGGTTGCTTTAATTACCAGCGGTTTAATCTTTGGGAAGTTCAAAAGGGGGTAAAATTCGGAATTGAATTTCAGAACATGAATTCTTCAAGTAATATGGCGCCCTGTAATATGACCCGTCAGTGGTTTTGATTGTTTTACTTGGGAAATAAGAAACTTATTCAAGTTTACTGTACTTCGTAATACGGTCACTAACCATAAAAAAAAAAAAACTGTTATTGCTATTAGTGTGAAATTTTAATTAAAACAAACATTTTACACCGTGGAATCTTCCTCATTAGCCTTCCACCCCTTTCGGAGAGATGTATTCTTCCCTAAAAAAAAAAGCCTTAACCAATCACCACTTTGTTTCAGTAAATTCAATCTTCTATTGGTTAAGAAACACTAAACTGTTGCAATGTCGAAACAGATCCTTTTTCCCACCGAAGCTCCCTGGAGCCGATTTTTAGACACCAAAGTATATATAAACAACCGCATGACTCAATTCAAGGCAGTCAGACATCGAGTTTGGTCGTTTTGTTCAGCTCTAGTCCGTGTTTGACTTGGCAAGACTGCATTACTGACGCGTGTGGTTTTCTTTTGTTTGTTCGACTAACACCGTTCTGTAAAATTCATTAACGTTCTTTTTGTTTTCTGTTATTTGAAAACCTTTTTTTTTTTATTTTCCTTTTTCCTTTCTTTTTAATTTATTACATTTTCTTTTCTTTTTTTCTTTTATTTTTATTCGTGTCTGTAACTTGTCCTTTTTACTTTTATTTTTAGTATAAAAAAATTGTTTAAAGTGTTTTCTTTATAGTTTTTCTCATTTTGTGTAATTTATTTGGGTCATTGTTTTGTATAACATTTGTTTTGAACTGTTTTGTGCATATTTTTTTGTTTGTGACCAATTGTTCATGTTTTTCGTATTAATTTTGTGCATTTCTTTTTTTTAAACATATTTTGTGACTGTTATTTGTCTGTCATCTTAAATTTGTTTCGCTGCTTGGCGAACTTTGTTTCAGTTTTTTTTTCCCCCTCGCCTATAATCGACCATTGTTTCTTACCTTCCTTTCCCGTTATATAAATACTAAAAGTGGAGAAAAAAAAACATCCTGTCCATTCTTAAAAGGAAGAGACCCGTTATGGCGGACTTTAAAAGGTCGGTAAAGAAGCATTTATTTTCTGTTAGAAAACACCCACCGGATAAGGATGACAGTGAAGAGTACCCAATCGTATTGAGTGTTCCAACGAATGAGGAAATTGTGAATGCTTTTAAAAAAAAGCTACCAAGTCTACGGAGGCCGAAAAGAGCCAAAACATAGAAGCCAATAAGGGCCAGGAAAAGACAAGTCAAGTGAGAATGCAGAGGCCGGGGAATCGCCCTCTTGTTGCAAGTCCCCATCTAAATGCATTATCGATATTGCGGAGGTTTTGGAGAGTGCTAAGAGTTACGCACACCTTGTGGTAGAAGGTGGACTCTTGGAGGATCAATCGAACTAAAGAAGATCGATAAAGAATAGTGTCGGTCTTTGTCGTCGACAAGCGTTTGCGCAAAATTTGTCGTTCGACGAAAGACTCAGTAGTTAAAACACTAGGGTTTAAGCCATTTGTATCTTTAAGGGTAAACGCTTTTTCATGTGGGACCTACTGCCGAAGACTGCGTAAAAGCCACAAGTCGGGATTTAATCACAAAAGATTTGATTCTCCGAACTGAGTACGAAGGCAGAAGAAGGACCACGTAGCAGTATACGAGGTCCCACCTCAATTTATCGGGGAGCACCAAACTCCCTCTCTGACCGAGTCTTTAAAATCCGCCTCGCCTGTAATGAGCATGCCAGCTTCCGGGATCGGAGTGGTCAAACCCAACACCAAAGCCCCCATTCCCGAAGAGCCTTCTTCCGCTGCAAGTGCAGTTGTGGAAGAGGAAAGGGGATGTCAGGTTGCTGGCAGGGTCAGAGGGAAGCGCCAGACAGCGGGTCCTCAGTCCCCTGAAGCCCCTCGGACAAAAGGAACTTACAGCCCCACTTCCTTTGTCAACAGTAAAGGCGAAGCCCCAGCCTCAATCCAAGATCTACAAAGAAAATTCGATCCCGGCTACAAAATGTCTGAAAAAAAAATTAAATTCCTTAAACAAAAACTAGATCAGCAAAGGAAAACAAAATCCTCCACCAAGAAAAGACTTCCTTCCAATTCCACTACACAGTCTCTCCAGCCCTCTACACCCAGTCAGCCAAAGTCCACCTCTTCAAAGAAGGCCACTCCCTCCACATCCTCTAACCAACCACTTTCTTACCATCCCTCAACCCCTCTTTGTAGAGAGAAGTCTTCACCTGCCTCTCCTTCCACATCTTTTTCCTAATCCTCAATCCCTCTCAGTATAGACCCTAGCCCTTTTAGGAAAACATATACACCCCGCCACACCCCCAGTCCTTCTCCCATTAAAACCCCAGAAATGCCCCCCTCCACATAACAAAAGGCTCAGAAGCCCCATTCACGAATTAACTAGAATAAAAAAAAAAAAAAACAAACATATTTTCAATTCCGGTGAAAACGTATGTAAAATTTCGCCCATCCAAGCTGAAAAATCTAGAGACTATGGAAACAGAATTAAAAACTTAAAATATCTGTTATCCATTAAACAATTCGGCGACAAAGACAGAGAAGAATCTCAAAATTTTCCCAACGCAGAAAGGGTTCCTAACCGTGATAAGAACTGAGACGGGGGCAAAGCAAGCTTGGTCGATGTTAGATGAAGCTATAGCCTCATTCAAAATGTCCCCGCCTATTGCAATCGTCCAGAACGAAGAATTGAAAAAAATGAAGCAATTTTGTGCTGGGAGGCTCCCGGCTTTTGTTCACCCCTCCCTCTATAGAGCACTAAAATTGACATTTCCCTGAAATATCGGCGGAATCTCCCAAGACG